AGATCAAATTGACAACAGCAACTCAAAAGGTTTGATGGGAAGCCTGGGGGCAGTGAGTTGAAGATAATGGTGATGGAATAATTTGGAAAAGGATATGAGAATAGCAGCACAACTGGAAGAACGTAATTGATGTCACTGAGTTGTACATGTAGAAATTTTTGAAATGTTGTGTCTTTGGCTACGTATATTTTCATCAAAAAAGATAAAAGGTCCTCCAAGGTTGAGAAGGGAGAGTTTTGACATGTTGTGGGTTTGTTAACCAATGTCATAAAACAATATGGGTACTGACTGTGTTATGAGAAACTATTTGTTCTGTAAACCTTCACCTAAAGTACAACAAAAAAAAAATTAAAAAAAAAGAAGCATGTGTAGTTAAAAGGGACAGATAATTTTTTGTTCTTCTGATCATTAGTATAGAACTAAGAAGTCATGAGAAAATGTCGAAAATGAGACTGAAATGAACTGAAATCACAAACTATGGGAATAAAATATTATTTTTAAAAGCACTTCTGGAAATTTAGATGCTGGAGAGAACGCCTCTAAATTTATATCAAAAGAACACCTCTAGTTTTACTTTTCAGCTTTACCAAAATAGAATGTATTTTTTAAAATTTACCTACCTAATAAATATTTTCTGTTTTCATACCACAGCCACTTCAGAGCTTCCATCAATCGGCATAAAATGTAAACTGAAGCAAACCAACAACCAACCATTAAAGCCCCAAACGTGCTATACTGTGCATGGAAGAAAACAAACGACACATTTTTTTGGGTTCATTCGCTCTTATAAAAATAGAAGTAAACAAATAAACCCCTTGTATTAGAAACTTCTATATCAAACTGCATTGACATCAGTCTAAGATACTCTCTAGAGTCTCACTAGTTGAGGTGTGGTCCACCAACCAGCAGCATGACTCCACCTGGGAGCTTGTCGGAAATGCAGACTCTCAGGCCCGGCTCCAGACTGCTGAACCAGAATGTGCATTTAAACAAGCTCCCCAGGTGATCTGCATGCACATTAAAGTTGGAGAAGCACTGCTCTAAAGAATAAATTTACCTCAAAATAATGCTAGGCTGCAAGACTTAATCAGAGTAACTGCAATATTACCACCATGAACTAATATTTATTTATTCAAAACTAAATGCAGGGAATTATTTTACCAAAGGTGTTTCAGAGAACTAATGAACAAATCCCTAGACATGGCAATGCTGTAATTCAAGGCCTCGAGGGTTCAGTGTCATGTAATCCCTAAGCTCTGCCAAGACGAGAAATTTTCACTCAGCGTAGAATTAGCCTATCACTCTTAAGAAAAAACACATTTCCAAACCAAACCCACTGCCACTGAGTCCATTCTGACTCATAAAAGCCCGCTGCCATTGAGTCGATATAGCAACCCTATAGGACAAAGCAGAACTGCCCCACACGGTTTCCAAGGAGCACCTGGAGGATTCAAACTGCCGATTAGCAGCTGTAGCTCTTAACCACTACGCCACCAGGGTTTCTGCTCCGACTTATAGTGACCCAATAGGACAGGGTAGAACTGCCCCATAGAGTTTCCAAGGCTGTAATCTTTATGGAAGCAGACTGCCACATCTTTCTCCCGGTGAGCAGCTCGTGGATTTGAACTGCCGACTCTTCCATTAGCTGGTGAGCACTAACCACAGTGACACCAGGCTCCTTAAAAACACATTACTTAGAAAATAAAAACCTCTCAAAAAAAAAAAATCACCAAAACTTAATACTTAGTTAAGCCTACATTTAGTAGTAACTAAAACGGAATCTTTAGAAAAAGATACACTTTAATAAAAGCCAGTGTATACAATGAAGGAACATAGCTTGAATCAGGAGCAGTCAATCAATGAGAGCAACTTTGATCAATTTTTCATGTTTATGAGATCATAGTGTCCATTTTTTATTCATTTGCACATAAGATGCCTACCTTTGGAATGAACCTTTTCACCAACAGCAGGAGAAAGACAAATGTCATCAGAACACCTAGCATAGTCCCCAAAAAGTAATAGAAAATAGGGCTGCTGTGAAGACAAGCAGATGAAAGCTATTTAAATGCCATGTGGCACTTTAAGTATTAAAAACATGTTTAATGTAATGTCAGTAGCCATAAAGAATATTAAGAAAGAAAAAAAAACTCAGATGGCAGCTCTAATAACACCTTATACTCTTGAAAAATGAAATCAGTACTTGGAATTTATGGTAAATAGATTGCCACTAACTCAAAACAGGATGTCCGCATGACCATCTATATTCAGAGTCTGATTCAACAATAATTACTGAGCACCTATCGTGGAGCAGGCAGTGGCTGAGGGCTTCACATGCATTCACAGCAACCCGCTGAAACAGCCATCCATGTCCAAACTTTATAGAGGAGGAAACCAAGGCATCAGGAATTAAAAGACCTTCCCAAATTTAGTGTCTGAGAAATGGAGGATTCAGGGTCTCTGCCCAGCTCCTCTGATTCCAAGCTTTCCCCTCCTGCTATGTAGGCAGCAGACAGTTTATAAAGACCATGGATAACATGAAACACCTGGTTATATTCTGAGGAAAGCTACAAAATGAACAATGTTAAGAATAGTTAGCAAATGTTGGCTATTAACTAACACAACCAAGCTAAGAAGTAAGACACATTATCGGAAAGAGGCTCCTTTTTTCTATGAGAAATTGCAAATGTAAAATATCAGAACAATATATTTATCAGATATTTGTTAAATTCAACATTCTGCATCAGAGCCACAAATCTAGGAAGCAGCTTTAATGTAACAGAAAGAGCAAGGCATCTGGCATCAGAAAACCTGAGTATAAATCTTGGCCCTGGCAAGAAATAGTTGTGTGATGATGGATGTTGATTGTTTCATCTATAAAATAAGAACAGTAATACAAAGCTCACATAATTGTTATGATCAAATCAAATAAAATAATGCACGTTAATAGGTAAAATATAATCATGCATATGGATGCACTTCGTAACATATACATATCATGCTATGAAAATAACTGTTACTGTTTTTAAAGGTCTTTTAAGCACTATTTTCAGACCTACTGTCTGCAAAACCTAAAGCAAGAGGTTGTAAATAAGAACTACAAATGCACAGTAGTGTGGAAATATTTAGTGTATGGTCAAAAACGTCCTAAATGTCTTTTGATTTACAAGATTAAGAAAGTAAAAATTAATACTTACTGACTCAAGGTCTTTGCATAAAAAAAGAGGAAAATGCCTGCCATAGACACAAGGAAGAGATTGAAATCCATGACTAGAGTAAAAAAAAAAAAAAAAAAAAAACAGAAGAAACAAAGATTTTGTGTCAATGTAGTGTTAGAAAGAAAAGTCGATTTATTAAAATGTCACCCCTGAAAAACTGAATCCAGAAAGTCAAGTATATTAAAAATAGACTTACTGTTCTGATTCACTCTTATTATATAGATAAATATATTGCTGACAGGCTCCACAGAGAAACATACAGTCTCTCCATATGGATTGATGTTTATGGTTATGTCATTAGACTCCTCTGGTGTCCAAAAGTTATGAATCATACAGTTAATAAAAGATATAATGGTTTCTGGATACTGGCAATTATGTCTTTCTGTGATATATACAATATGGAGCAAGCCTGGACTGGTAATCTTCACCTACAAAACAAGAACAAGCAAATCCATAAACACAAAGTAAAACTTCTTATAAGCTTCTTAAAAGCAGAAGCGGAGGAGTAAAGAGAACCCATGACTGACTGAGTAAAGAACACTCAGATGCACATGGTAATGGTCTGACCCCAAGAACGGACCCTACAGATCTGTGTTTAGGACCAAACACACACTAGACTACAGATACTTTTGGAAGTGAATGTTTCTTTCTCCGGATTGTGTTTGATTTAACTCCCTCTCCTAGCAAGTGTGGAGCCCTGGTGGCACAACGCTTAAAGACTACGGCTGCTAAACTGCAAGTTACTGTGGCCAACAAACATGTGAAAAAGGATGAGATAGAAAGCAATAGTCGGCAAACTATTATTTGTATCACCAGTAATGGTACAAATGAACATCATATGCATCGTGATACAAAGCTCTAGCTATTCCCTCAGCCTAGAATACTCTTTTCCTAGACACTCTCTTGGGTAACTCATCATTTCCTTGAAATCTTTCTCAAATGTCACCTTCTCAACGAGAACTACCACGACCATTCTTTTTAATACTTCAGCTTGCCCCCTACACCTCAATCCCACTTATCTTACTCTACATTTTCTTTTTTCACAGCACTTACTAGTTTTGCAATTTTCCTCCCTATTACATTTATAGTTTATTATCTGTCTCTCTCTCCCCCCGAAAATGTAAACATCAATGGGGCAGGGATTCTGTTTTGTTCACTGATGTATCCTAACAACCCAGAACAGTTCCTAACACTCAGTAGGTGCTCAATATATATTTGTTGAATGTTAAATGAAGGAAAGCACTAGGCTATTGAAAGCAACTGCTATCTGGCCATACCTGAGATCAGAGGTAATGCCAAAATTTCTACTATGAGAGGAGCTTGGGATGGCAATTATTTTAGAAAGTAGGAGGGTGGGTGTTGTCTTGAGCTGTGTTTGAACAGCAAGCATACTGTATTCACTTTGATGGCATATTTATTTGGACTGGCTTGGGGAAGGTCTGATGAAGAGTACGGAGGAGTCAATGTCCCCTCTCATACAAAAAAAAAAAAAAAAAAAACCAAACCCGTTGCCATTGAGTTGATTCTGACTCACAGCAACCCTACAGAACAGAATAGAACTGCCACACAGGGTTTCTTAGGTGGTAATCTTTATGGGAGCAGACTGCCACATCCTTCTCTTGTGGAGCAGCTGGTAGGCTGGAACCACCAACCTTTCGATTAGCAGCTGAGCACTTAACCACTGAGCCACCAGGGCTCCTCCTCCCATACCAGCCACCCCTTAATCCACTTGTGTCTTCCCCATGTCAGCTTTCATACTGACACACAGCTCTAGGTCATACAAAACCTTTCTATTTTTGAAATTAAAAAAACCCATTGCTGTTGAGTCAATTCTGACTCATAGTGACCATATAGGACAGAGTAGAACTACCCTACAGGTTTTCCGAGGAGCAGCTAATAGATTCGAACTGCCGGCCTTTTGGCTAGCAGCTGAGTTCTTAACCACTACGCCACCAGGGCTTCATTTTTGAAATAGTACCTTTTTTGCCTGCCCTAAGACATGATTTAAAAGTAGTCCCTTACCTGTACAATTGACCACATGTACTTCCAATGTATTTGGATATTTTTATTGTAGCAGTAACAGTCTGACTTAGAACTTTCAATTACATCCATTTCCTTCAAAGCTTTACACCTTGAAGCTGAAAGATGGAAAAAAGAATACATTTCTTAAATATTTAATCTTATCTTTTTATTTATTTATTTTTATTCACAGGGATAATGGTAGCAGTCTTAGTATTCTATGACCAACAATTTCTTCTACATGGCAATTACAGTCCTTCTGTCATTCCAACCTAGCAGGAGATAGACAGTCCAGTGTCAATACTCATATGACATAGGAAGGCACTATAAGAGCACAGAGAATGGGCCCTTTTTCCATCCTGCAGTGGAGGGAAAGAATCAAGGGCAGCTTCCTAGAAGAGATGACACGTGAGCAGAGCACTGAAAGATAAGCAGGCGGCAACGAGGTGGAAGTTGGTGGAGGTGGGAAGTGTGTACAAAATCATGGAGAGAAATCATGTAAGTGAGTCAACCGTTCACAAAGATTAACTGCAGAGAATATATGAGGACATTTCAATACCTGAGGCTAGAAAGGTAAGCAGTGGACTTCATCCTAATAGCAGAGCATTGAAAGATTTTAGGTAAGTATTAGAGTCTTGAAGGAGTTCTAGTGGTGCAATGGTTAAATGCTCAGTTGCTAACTGAAAGATTGGTGGTTCGAAGCCACCAGCTACTCCACAGGACAAAGATGTGGCAGTCCGCTTCTGTAGAGATTTACACCCTTGGAAACCCTATGGGGCAGTTCTACTCTGTCCTATAGAGTTGCTATGAGTTGGAATCAACTCAACAGCAACGGGTTATGGGTTATCAGAGTCTCAGCAGGAAACTGGCGACACTCAGAAGGGTTTAACTGAAAAGGGTTCAGTGAAGATGTGGACAGGCAGGGTGAGGTTCCCAGCTACCAGCAAAAGCAGGAAGTCTTTAACACCGTTGGCCTGAAACAGTTAGAAGAGGACCTGATATTACTAGAAGAATGATAGTCTAATGGAACACATTAGTCACTGCCAGAAGTTCAATGGGATGGCAGGGTGAGGGTACTGGAGCCTCAACCTCGCTCTCCTGCCCTCCTGTCAGTACCTCTCATTGGCCAAACCCAACAGGAAGCTAGAGAACAAAGGAGCCCAGGCGATGCAGCCCACAGAGGTCAGCTTCCAGGCACAGAGCAGGGGAGAGAAGGGCGGGGAATGGGTCCATGGAAAGAGAGAATAATCAGCTTAATGAGGAAATGAAAACAGCACACTTGTGTTTTAGAAAGAGCACTCTGTAAGCAGTGTGGAATATTAGATGGGAAGAAGACTGAAAGCAGAATCACTAAGGAGGCAACTAAAGCAATCTAAGCAAAAAAACAAACTAAGTGAGGAGGGCAAAGGAACAGATTAAAGAGCACTTAGGAAGTGGAGGAGATTCAATAGATGAGGGAGAGCAAGAAGATGACATGAAGGTTTCTGGTGGATAGACAGATGGTGAGGCCCTGCATCTGGCTAAGAAATACTGGAGAAGAGCAAGCCGAAAGGGGGATGAGTTCAATTTTGGACAGACTGAGCTTTGGCTGGTGGGACCAAGTGAAGATGGAGAAGTCTGCAGCTCAGAAGAAATCTGGCTGGAGACAGATGTAAATATACAAGTGTGTGTGTGTTTAAATATGTGTGTGTGTGTTATAATATATACTAATACAATATAATCCATATATCACAATACAATATTCAGAAAGAGGGGAGATATGCCACAGTGCAGACAGTAGATATAGTAAATGTCACAAGAATATTACAAATGAATGGGGTCATTTTATTCTGTATCCATCACTGTATTCATATTTGAAATAAAGCAGGATAAAAGTTCTTAAGTTCTTCTGGATCCAGGATGCGGTGTCACCACTACATCTGTCAAACAGCAAAGAGGAACAGGGAATGCTCGTGGGCGCACACAGAAATGGCCCTTACAGTCAACCCCTGACTCCTCTTACGAAAGTGTGGTCAGCTGCTTCTCAGAAAAACCTGGAATGAAGCTAGAACAACCTGCTACCCTGAAATTGGGGAAGGATTGGGTAACCAGTAATAACTACTCAACAATTACATCCATTTAAGGAATAATATTGAAAAAACTCAGAAAGGTCCCTCTTCTGGCTAGGAATACCCTTAGCATTAAGCTGGAGAAAAGCAAAGACAGACTGGGGGAAAGAACACTCACCCACCCACTGCAAACACCCACCACTTCCAGAAATACAAAGAACTTCAAAAAAGCCAGGGTCCTCAGGCGGCTACGCATAGCAGGGAATTTACAGGAAGATCCAGTATATTCCACTGTGACATGGTATAATCATTTAATCTTTACTTAACATTGTGAAGAAATGCTTAAGCTTTTACATATACAAACAAATTTGCAGAGTTTGAAAGTCTAAGATGCAAATACAAAAACCTATGTAAGCCAGGTCTCAAAAAAAGCATGAGAAGGAAGCTCTAGAGGACGTCTGTTAAATATGGGATTCTAAAAATTAAAACCGCATTCCTGCATGGTTTTGTCTAAATACAAGAGCCCAGAGGGAGAATGCAGAACCTGTGCTACAAAATAGAAAGCAAGCAATGCTGAAGTGCAGTCTTGGGTATATTTGAGATGCAAATAATTCCTGGCCAAGGTCTTCACAAGGAAATGGCCATTCCCAGGACAACAAAGGGTTGGCAGCAAGCTGTAGAAAAGATGAATGTCTTAGAAGGCAGTGTAGAACCTGGAAGAATCTAAGCAAACTGATGAGAACACATTAAAACACATTAAAAGCCCTCAGATACTGAGCAGCAGAGATAGGATTAGAACAAGGTCTCCTGACCCGCCTTCCAGTATTTAATGCTCAGCTTTCACATGGCCTCCTGTGGTGCCTCTCAGTAGGAACTAGGGCTTAGTGGGGGACTAGAGATGAGAACTTTATATGGTCCTTGATAAGGGGGAGGAAGTCCTATCTACTGTAGGAAAGGGACCCATTCCAGCGGGACAAAATGGGTGAAGGGCACAAGGGCCACAGGCCCCAGCAGCTCCAGTCCTCATAAGAATGTTTTACTTCCAGCCAGTTCTGTCTTCAGGGTTACTCTTAACAGCACATGATGCTTTGGCAGCTTTTCTTGTTTGCACCTCCAGGGCTCTTGCCTGCAATCCCTCTCCTAGTGGGCTCCATTGCTTTAAGGGCTTGAATCAATGCCCGGTAAAACCACAGTGTTAGTGATCCAAGGGCATATCCTCTTTGTGAGGCCTGAGCTTTGCAACCGAATGCTGCCTTGACATGAAGTTTTCTCCATTTGGTCCAAGACTGTCTCCTAAATCATTTCATACCTGTAGCTCTTAAGAGCAAGATGATGCAATTTAAGTACAGTGCAATTATTTGAATTTAGGAGTAAATGTTTCTCTGTTGTCCAAGTCGTCTTGTACTTGGATTACTGTAAGGGGTCCCTGGGTACAAACGGTTAATGTGCTCAGCTGCTAACCCAAAATTTGGAGGTTCCAGACCACCAAGAGGTGTCTCGGAAGAAAGGTCTGGTAATCTAATTCCAAAAAAGCAGCCACTGAGGACCCTAGGGAGCACAGTTCTACCCTGACACACATGAGGTCACCATAAGTTGGAGTCGACTCGACGGCAACTACTGGGTTTTTAGTAGCTTGCAGATGGTCTCACCTGTTTCCAGAATTGCCCCCATGACTGCCCCCTACAGCCTATTCTCCACTCAGCAAATAGATCTTTTTTTTTAAACATTATCTTTTAAAAGCATCCATCAGAGCACATTAGTAACCTGCCAAAAACCCTCTAATGACTTCCCATTGAACCCATAATAATATCCATGCTCCTTTCTAAGGGCCCCTGTGCACCTCCATGACCTCTCCTGCACTTCCCTCCAGCTCTGGCTGCTCCAGCCACACCACCCTTCCAGCTCCTCCTCAAAATGCCAAGTCCACCCCCGCCTCAAGTCTTCGTACTTGCTGTTTTCTTGGCCTGCAACTCTCTTCCCCCGGATCTTGGCAGAGCTTGCTCCTTCTGATAATTTATGTCTTTGCTCAAACGTCACCTTTTTAGGAAGGCTTTCTCTGACCCCATTATCTAAAATAGCACACCCCAACTACCTTCACCCCCTTTCTTCTTATTCTGCTTTATTTTTTCATCATACTGCATATGGTTTTATTAGCTGATATTCTGTCTCCTCATGAAGTCAGGAACGATGCATGTTCATTGCTGTATACTCACCATTTGAAAAGCTCTGAGTTAAATATCTGTCCTCTGTGTGTTGTAATTTGAGAGGATTAGTGGGTTGTTTGGGCATGCGCAGCCTAGCCAGTGAAAGCCTGACTAATCTTTATAAGAGCCTCACCAGTGCCAGTTAGCACCATAAAGGAGGTACCCTCTGGCCCTCCCTTTGAGACAACCTGATGTAATAGGGCACCCTCTCCAGCTGGTTTTCATTTTACTCCTATTTGGTACATCAGTGTATTCTGGGTAAGGGACCTCCCAGTTAGAAGAAAAGAACTTGCTCTTAATGTCACCTCTGTCTTCAACCAGATTAAGGAAAGTAGAGATGGAAGTAGATTGTTCTGAATACCGATGCCTATAGAAATGCTACTAAAAACATGTTTCCAACAGTGTTCCCCACCGCAATTCTCCAGAGTGGCCTCTGGCTTTTGAGGTGAGGTTGATGTAGAATTTACACAATATACGTGACGTCACAGACAAGGTGTCAGCATATCATGGTGTCCTCTGGCTGCCCTCCATTCTTAGCACCTCTCTCCTGCACCTCAACCAACCCGCACAAGAATTCCTAAATATCCAAGGGACTAGGAACTCAGTCAACCACAAGAAGGCATAGGCCTAGCTCCAAGAGAGTTCACAAGAACCTTGAGCCACAGCCTAGTTAGACTAGGCATGAGACAGTAACTTGTGACAATCAGGATTGCTATTGAAGCAGGCCTATGGCCTTCCTAAAGAGAACCAGTTCTTTTCATCTTAGATTGATTAGGCTTCTCCTCCCTTCATCAATCTTCTTCTAGGGACATTTCATTATTAAGTGTCTACCTCCTCTATCTCCACCTGAGGGTGGAAAATAGAAAACACAAACAGTTTGACTGTTTATTTGCAACTCTATTACTTGATTTAACCCCTGACACTGAAGGCTATGAGGCTGTTTGTATGTCTGCAAGTTTCACTTATTCATGCTACCCCAGTCTTTGCTAGTTAATTGTGCAAGGATGGAACCTCCTGGTGGGAGATGTAGGCAAACATGAATATATCACAACAACAATCTCTCTAGGATGTAAACCAGAAAATGAAATGGAATTTCCTGGAATTTATAAAAACATAATAATAATCATTCATTTGGTCAGAAAAGAATGATACTTGCCTAGAGAGAGCCACTGCTTCCGCTTGGGACTGAAGCATCCCCACACTGGAGCCAGGAGCCCAGCTCTGTCTAGACTCCCAAGAATTTAGGAATATCTGGGGGACCAACTCTGAATGTCATCCTTATTATGGCTACCCCAGCAAGGCTGTGTTTCCAAGCCATGGAATTAGCATCTCCTTCCTTAACTCCTTATAGTCCTCAACAGGTTCCCTTGATTCTTTCAATAAACCTGACTTGTGGAGAAGAGTATATTTCTGGACAGTTGTGTCCAAACTGCTAAAACAAGTACGTGAGGTATTAACTATTTATATTACCAAAAGATTTGAGCCAGGGTGACCTGAACCAGTGGTATTTTAAATACCACTCAATTTACAAATATCCAGTTAACCTAATTTTAGGACTACATATCATAATTAAAAAGGAACAGCTGCATAGCACCTACTTTAATTAACAAATTGAATTTAAAATTACTCCTTTGTAGTACTTTTGCCACCAGGGCTCCTGTCATTTATTAGTTTTTCTAAATGCGTAAGTAAATATTCAGACTAAAGAATTCAGTCATAAATAAGGTAAAAATATTCAGTCAAAACTTCAGAAAAGAGCAGGTAGTACTTAAACCTACTTATAGAGCATGCTAAAAATAAAAAGCGCAAACACTTCTCAAATCTTAGCAGGTCTTAAACAGCCCCCAACATAAAAATATTTCAGCAATGTTCCTCCTGAAAACTTAACCTTAGATGGCTCTCAGATAAGAATCTTCAGATTAGACTATAACAGAGTAATACGACTTATTAAATTATACTGCTGTTTCCTCCATTTGATTTATAACTGTTTTTCTATTGGGGCAAGAGAAGGGGAGGTAGAAGTATATGAAAAAACAAACGAACAAAATACCAACAAACCTTAACTCGTGAGAGTTCAAATGAAGGAAGGATTTTTCTTGGTAATTTTTTTTTTAAATAAATTTTTATTTTCAAAGGAGTTAGCGTGTAGCACCAAAGTTACAAAGATGACTTTTCTATTCTATTAAGCCCAGTTTCTTTTTGTTTTGTTTTTTTTACCTGACCTGAGTATAAATCTTTGTTTTTATTTCTCCAAGAACATGCATAAAGAATAAAAATGAAATTAGCACATGCTACTGCACATTCGGGTCTGATTTTAACTTCAAATACAGATGTTTATTCTCCACAGGTGAATTCGAAAGCTGTGATTTCAAACAGTTTATTGTTATAGTTGAAGCCTGAACTTCATCTCAGCATCGTATGGTTTCTAGGGACCTCTCACCCACCGGCTGCAAACCAAGGGGAACTCTTGGCTTGTAGTTTCTCTTCCTCTCAGCCAGACAATAACCTACCCTCCCGTGCCAACTGCCTCTGACTTTCCTCCAAACAGTGTGACAGAATGCTGGCCTTGGTCTGGATGTTCTCCATTTTATGGAAAGGTGTGTGTGTTTATGACTGAATTTTAGAACAGGAAGGCACCTAACGTATCATCTCATCCAAGTCTCTCACATTATAGATGGGCCCCATTTTATGAAAGGAAGTACCAGCTATTCATCTCAGGGTTCCTTGTAAAACAATAGACTTTTGGAGTGGCAATGGTTCTTAGACTTAAGTCTAGCCGAGAGGTTCCAACATGGTGTCACTGGCACACCACAGGATCCTGGCTGCTTCACAGTCCACACTGTAAAGCCTATCTGGAATGGCTAGCATCACTATAAGGCTACAGACGTTGCCATTTTTCTTAGCTGTGGGCTAAGTGGCCACCCTACATGTCTTAGGCAGAAAAGACACTCTGATACTCGTTTATAAATGTTTTTGATTAACAAAATAGTGAAGTAAACTGTTACCACTAAATGTGGTAAGACAAACTTGAAAAAGTGTTCCCTGGTGACGAAAATACTGGAAACCATTCAGCCAATAGAACGTCTTCATTTTACTGATAAGAATACTACAGTCCATGAAGGTTATGTGCCTGGACCAAGCAGGTGACTGAATGCAATGACTGAACTAGAACTCAAGGTTTTGGGTGTTGGTCTGGGGCAACATCCAATTCCCTGGCTGCTGCCATGCCCATCCTCCTTCCTCTCAGATAGATCTGTGTTGTATATATATATATATTTTTTTTTTTTTTTTAATCAGTACATCCTGGCTACATCTCTTACTACTAAGCGCTCCTTTCCTCACCTGTAAAATGGGTATAATAACAGTACCTACCTCAATAGGGATACTATGAGTATTAAATAAGATAATGCAGTTAAAGCACTTTTAACATGCTTGGCATGTAGTAAACAATAAATGTTTGTTCAATGAAAGCTGTTGTAGAATGGATCCACAAAGCATAACTCTGCAAGAATTCCTGGGTTGGCAGTTGTCGCAGAGTCTGAAAATTGACTACCCAACATCCATTCTCCCTTTTATCCCTAAACACCCAGCCCTGATTTTATTGGTGGGGGTAGGGGGAAGGGGGGTTTATGTCCAGCTGAAAGACCACATTTGGTAGCCTCCCTTACAACCAGGGTAGCAATGAGATGAAAGGAAGTTGGTGAACGGTGCATCCAGGAAATCTTTTCAGAGATTTTGTGGAAAAAGCAATAAAACACAGGGATGCTAAGTAACCAAATTAACAGCAGTTCTAGAATTAGAAGTCGATTTTCCGACACTCCCCTTCTGTGCCAAGATTTTGAGAGCACTCCATGGACAGCCCCTAAAACCACTACGAGCTATCTCTTCTTTCCTGTCAGGCATTGTGCACACGTTAAACATCACATTAATTCCGTGAGGTGTCATTATGTTTTAATGTGACCAGTTACGTGCCTCCCTCCAGGTAACACATTTGAGCAGGGGCAGTGGAATTCCGCCTGATTCTAAAGCCAAAGCTCTAGTCCTCTTCTAGTCTTGGCTCCAACAACTAGCTCTATAGAGAAATAATGAGGTTTTCAACACAAACTGATACATTGTAAAAAAAAAAAAAAAAAAAAATTCGTGTGCTGAAAGTCGGGAGAGGTAAATTATAGGATAGGCTGTGCCAGCTACTAGCTGTGTGACCTTAAACAAATCATTACATTTCTGAGCTTTGGTTGCTTCTTCTGCAAAACGAGGAAACTGGGCCAGACTTCGAGCTCTGTTGTTGTTTCTAGTTCTAAAACGATAAACCGTCCAAGGGCCAGAGGAGAGCCCAGGGAAACGCAGACGGCGGGTAGAAACTATGCAACCTGTGCAGGCCGCTGCGCGCGCGCGCGCGCGCCCGCCGCCGGGTGCCCGGGTTACCTGACAACGCCGCCGCCACCTCCTCCTCCCCGTGCACCACGCCCGCGGGCAGTGTGGCCAGGAGCGGCAGCCAGAGCAGCAGCCACCGCAGGCCCGGGCGCAGCCGCATCCCGCCTGCGCGTCAGCTCCGCGCGGTCGAGTCGGGTCACGAACCCCTCGGAGCCGACTCGGCCTAGAGCAGCGGAAATGGCGCGCGACCGAGGAGGATGAGGCGGAGGTAGCGGTGAAGCCTGCACGCGGGAAAGGCGGAGACTCCGCCCCGGGGCGGAAGACTGCCTCCGGCCCGTAGCTCCGTTCCGCTCCCGGCTTCCTGGCCGACTAGCGCGGCTCCTCTTGGCCTGCTCAGGCTGCTCCCGGGCCTCCGCGGCCTCCCATCCCTTTGGCCTCCGGACCTCCCAGACTAACCCCCACTCTCGGCAGCCGGCGGAGGGCTTTCTCTGACTTTTGCCCCAAACTTGCCTGGCCGGCGCGGTGCAGGGGCTCAGTTCTCAAAGCTCCCATCGGTGACACCCTATTTCAGCAACTCCCCTTGTTTTTATAACTAAAGGTCAGTTTATTTATTTTTCTTTTGTATGTTTTACATTTTTCCTTTTTGTTAGTAAAAATAATAAATTGGAAATTTGGTTCATTAACACAGATACGTATGTCTAAGCTCATAAACACACCACATTTCAGGGTATAAGGAGGCCATAAAATGTCCCCTCACCAATGTAACAATCAGATATCCATTAAAATTAGCTCGTATTTAAAAAAAAATATGTGTAGGTGTACATATCTATTTATAGATAGATGTCTCGGGCAGCCTTAAAATTGATAATTAGTATAAAATTTACCCCGTGTGTCTGTTAGTTTGTCGTACTTTTGGGGGCTTGCTTGTTGCTGTGATGCTGGAAGCTATGCCACCAGTATTCAAATACCAGCAAGGTCACCCATAGTGGACAGGTTTCAACTGAGCTTCCAGACTAAGACAGACTAGGAACAAGGACCTGGCTGTCTACTTTTGAAAAAAAATTAGTAAAAACCTTATGAATAGCAACAGAACATTGTTTGATATACTGCAGGAAAATGAGCCCCTCAGGTTGGAAGACATTCAGAATATGACTGCGGAAGAGCTGCCTCCTCAGTGTAGAGTCAGCCTTAATGACGTGGATGGAGTTAAGCTTTCGGGACCTTAATTTGCTGATGTAGCCTGACTCAAAATGAGAAGAAACAGCTGCAAACATCCATTAATAATTGGAACGTGGAATGGACAAAGTATGAACCTAGGGAAATTGAAAATCATTAAAAATGAAATGAAACACATAGACATCAATAGCCTAGGCATTAGTGAGCTGAAATGGACTGATATTGGCCATTTTGAATTGGACAATCATATGGTCTACTCTCCTGGAAATGACAACTCAAAGAGGAATGGTGTTGGATTCATTGTCGAAAAGAACATTGCAAGATCTATGCTGAAGTACAGCACTGTCAGTGATAGGATAATATCCATACATCTACAAGGAAGACCAGTTAATACGACTCTTATTCAAATTTACCCACCAACCACTAAGGCCAAAGATGAAGAAAGTGAAGATTTTTACCAACTTTGGCAGTCTGAAATTGATCAAACATGCAATTGTGTTGTGTTGATAATTACTGGTGATTGGAAAGCGAAAGTTAGAAACTAAGAAGAAGAATTGGTAGTTGGAAAATATGACCTTGGTGACAGAAGTGATGCTGGAAGTTACATGATAGCATTTTGCAAGACCAACGACTTCTTCATTGCAAATACCTTTTTTCAACAACATAAATGGCAACTACACATGTGGACCTTGCTGGATGGAATACACAGGAATCAAGTCAGTGACATCTGTGGAAAGAGACAATGGAAAAGCTCAATATCATCAGTCAGAACAAGGCCAGGGGCTGACTTCAGAAGAGACCATTAATTGTTCATAGCAAGTTCAAGTTGAAACTGAAGAAAATTAGAACAAGCCCACGAAAGCAAAAGTACGACCTTGAGTATATCTCACCTGAGTTTAGAGACCATCTCAAGAATAGATTTGATGCATTGAACACTAATGACCAGACCAGTTGTAGAATGACATCAAGGACATCATACATGAAGAAAGCAAAACGTCATTACAAAGAGAAAGAAAAGACCAAAATGGATGTCAGAAGAGACTCTGAAACTTGCCCTTGAACATCAAGTAGCTAAAGTGAACAGAAGAAATGAGGAAGTAAAAGAGCTGAACAGAAGATTTCAAAGGGTGGCTCGAGAAGACAAAGTAAAGAATTATAATGACACGTGCAAAGACCTGCAGTTAGAAAACCGAAAGAGAAGAAAACACTCGGCATTTCTCAAGCTCAAAGAAATGAAGAAAAAATTCAAGCCTTCAGTTGCAATATTGAAGGATTCTATGGACAAAACACGGAACGACACAGGAAGTATCAAAAGAAGATGGAAGGAATACACAGAGTCACTGTACCAAAAAGAATTGGTCGACATTCAGTCATTTCAGGAGGTAGCATATGATCCGGAACCGATGGAAGAAGTCCAAGCTACACTGAAGGCACTGGCAAAAAACAAAGCTCCAGGAATTTACAGAATACCAATTGAGATGTTTCCACAAATGGATGCAGCGCTGGAAGTGCTCACTTGTCCATGCCAAGAAATTCGGAAGACAGCTTCCTGGCCAGCCAGCTGGAAGAGATCCGTGTTTATGCCTATTCCCAAGAAAGGTGATCTAACTGAATGTGGAAATTACCGAACAACATCATTCATATCACACACAAGTAAAAAGCAGCTGCAGCAGTATATCGACAGGGAATGGTGAGAAATTCAAGCTGGATTCAGAAGAGGATGTGGAACAATGGATATCATTTCTGATGTCAGATGGATCTTGGCTGAAAGCAGAGAATACCAGAAAAATGTTTACCTTTGTTTTGTTGACTATGCAAAGGCATTTGACTGTGTGGATCATAACAAATTAGAGATAACATTGTGAAGAGTGGGAATTCCAGAACACTTAGTTGTGCTCATGTGGAAACTGTACATAGACCAAGACACAGTCATTCAAACAGAACAAAGGGATACTACATAGTTTAAAGTCAGGAAAGGTGTGTGTCACCATGCTTATTTAATCTGTATGCTGAGCAAATAATCCAAGAAACTGGACTATATAAAGAAGAAGGGAGCATGAAGATTGGAGGAAGACTTATTAACAACCTATATTAAGCAGATGACACAACCTTGCTTGCTGAAAGTGAAGAGGACTTGAAGCACTTACTGATGAAGATCAAAGATCACAGCCTTCAGTATGGATTATACCTCAACATAAAACAAAAATCTGTACAACTGGAGCAATAAGCAACATCATGATAAAACGGAGAAAATATTGAAGTTCTCAAGGATTTCATTTTACTTGAATCCACAATCAACAGCCGTGGAAGTAGCAGTCAAGAAATCAAATGACTCATTGCACTGGACAAATCTGCTGCAAAAGATCTCTTTAAAGTGTTAAAAAGCGAAGATGTCACTTTAAGGACTAAGGTGTGCCTGACCCAAGCCATGGTGTTTTCAGTCACCACATATGCATGGGAAAGCTGGACAGTGAATAAGGAGGACTGAAGAATTGAAGCCTTTGAATTATGGTGTTGGTGAAGAATATTGAATATACTATGGACTGCCAGAAGAATGAACAAATCTGTCTTGGCAGAAGTACAACCAGAATGCTCCTTAGAAGCAAGGATAGCGAGACTACGGCTCACGTACTTTGGACATGTTATCAGGAGGGATCAATCCCTGGAAAAGGACATCATGCTTGGTAAAATAGAGGGTCAGCAAAAAAGAGGAAGACCCTCAATGAGCTGGATTGACACAGGGGCTGCAACAGTGGGCTCAAGCATAACAAAGATTATGAGGATGGCACAGGGCCAGGCAGTGTTTCATTCTGTTGTAGGTAGTGTCACTATGAGTTGGAGCTGACTCGATAGCACCTAACAACAACAACAACATAGAATTTACAATCTTAAATAATACAGTGCTGTACTTATTTATTTATTCTTCAACAACAGACCTTCCTTGGACCCTGGAAATCCATTAATGTGATTTAATATACCATACTTAACACTTAGTAGGGCAAAAGGTCATTTCCTCTTCTCTGATCTCATCTTCTGCTGAAGTACTTTACATACATACCTATTGCTGTTGAGTGGATTCCGACTCATAACAACCCTACAGGACAGAGTAGAACTGCCTCATAGGGTTTCCAAGGAGCAGCTGGTGGATTGGAACTGTGGACCTTTTGTTTAGTAGTGGAGCTCCTAATCACTGTGCCAGCAGGGCTCCACAGGGGACTCAGTTGTAACAGAAATCAGCCTCTAAAAGGAGCTCAGTCTCATTTATTCTAAAAAGTCTGAGTAGGGTCTAACTAAAAGGCTTCCTGGTTCAAAATAAGGTTGAACCAACTTCCTTCAAGCCCTTAGCACCATACATATACCCATATATGCTTTTAGAAAGTTAAGAAATCTCTATGTAAGGGACTCTTCAGGGTGATGATTTCTACAAATAAACTGTCATTACTTGTTATTACATATCTGACTCCTGCACAATGTCTCCAGAAAAATGGCAGAGCCCTTGGTTCAATTCTTTTTCCCTGTGTTCCCCTGGGAGGTGTGTAGTTGTCTTTTCCATAGCCTTTTTTTTTTTTTTTTAAACCTAACCACATTTGTTTTTTATTTAGTTTAATTTTGGATGGCACCATGGAAAGTGGCTATAAGAATCAAGTGAATTCTTTAATGTTTTTCTGCAGCTGTATCTGGTAGAGGAATAAAACAGTTTGCAAACCAATGGAATGGAATTGAAAGTCTAGAAATGAATCCATACATAATGGTCAACTGATTTTCAACAAGGGTGCTTAGTCCATTCAATGGAGAAGGAAGAGTTTCTTCCATAAATGATGCTGGGAAGATTGGATTTCCACATACAGAAGACTTAATCAGCATCCATGCCTTACACCATACACAAAAACCAATTCAAAATGGATAGAGACCTAAATGTGAAAACTAAAACCATAAAATTCTAAGAAGAAAGGGGTGATACTGTGGGACCTAGTGTTTAACAATAGATAATA